GGGCAATATCCTATGTTTGTTGCTTTTGCTTTCATGCTTCCGTCATATTTTGGTATCAGATCTAAGGTCTATCACAGCGGTAAATTGTAGAAATGTGTCTAAAAGAGTTAATATTATAATAAGGTTATAAAGTCGCAGTGACTTGAAAATCACTACAAAACGAGAAAGACATGTGAAAGCATGCGGACTGTTTCCTGTTGACTCAGATCCAAACGGTGTATATATATTATGTTGCTTTTATCATATTAGACTATGTTGCTTTGAGTGTGTTGTTGTTGCTTTATGGTATCAGAGCCAAGGTTATTACAGTGGTAAACTGTAAAAATATGTCTGAAAGAATAAATATTATAGTAAAGACCTAAAAGCACAGTGACCCAAAGATCGATGTTAAGCCAAGAAGGCATGTGAAAGCGTAGGGATTATTTCATGTTGACTCGGATCTAAGCTGTAATATTATTCTAATGGAAAATTTTCTCAAAACCTTATCTAATGGATCGGCTTCCACTAGTTCTAGTTCAAATGTATTACGTGTTAATAATAAGGATGAAATAATTATAGATAATATAGAAAAACATATTCAAAATTGAATCATTTCTAAGGTTTCAATTCAAGATATTTATAAAACAAATGAACGTTTGAACTTAGAGCTGACTTTTCAATTAAAACAATTGAGAAAAAAGGAAACCCAAGATAATTTCCAGCTTCTGTCTAACATAATGATAGACGATCATAGAAAGAAAATTTTCAATTATCTACATATTGGGTTGGTTCAAGTGGCGGTTAAGCCATTAACCAGAACAGGGTTAAATAACTCTATGCACAGATCTCAAACTTAGAAGACAATTAGATAAACAAAGAATGACAGGCAAAAAGGAACTTGGATATTTTTTTGAACAGTTTGGTAATAATACTTTTTTACCATCTAGTTCACAATATTAAAAAAACTCTCAAAGGAGTGAAAAGTATAAGAAGTATAAATCATCCTCGAAGAGGGACCAATCATCTAGAGGGAAAGGAAAATTTTATAAAAATTTGTGAAAGACCAATCTATTAAACAAAAGGGAAAAAAAAAAATACATGTTTGTTTTAATTATAGTAAAATAGGACATTCTAAAAACAAATGCAGAGTCAAAAAGAGGATTAATGCCCTTAAAATTGAAGATAGTATTAAAAAAAAATTATATAATATTCTTTTAATAAAAGAAGAATCATCTGATAGCTCT